TGAGCGGGCGGTTTTCTCCTGAGCGAGCGTTCTTCCCCTGAGCGGGTTTTCTCCCCTGAGCGGGCGTTCTTCCCCTAAGCGGGCGTTCCCCCCCTGAGTGGGCGTTCTTCTCCTCAGCGGGCTTTCTCCCCCGGAGCGTGCGTTTTCCACCTGAGTGGGGGAGCGGGCTTTCTACGTGCAAGCAAGTATGTTGTTCCTCTCATTGGGTGAGCGGATCCCTTGAACGCACGTTTTCTGCCCTAAACATTTATTAGATTGGTATCTTCCCCCCAGTGGGTCGATTCCGAGCCGGATCCTACTACGATCATGGATTGAACTCCCGCCCAGCTGTTGGGTGAACGTGTCATTTTCCAAAAATTATCTGGCCGATACACATGGGAGTTATCCAAAAGGTCCTTGTAAGGGTTTTTAATGTCGAGAGCCTTGGATGACATGATCATGGGTCTCGCGAAAGTGTTTTTTCGAGTTCGCGAATGTTAATGTTTTTTCGCAAAAGATTCGCGAAAGTATGAATTTTTATTATATGTTCTTTGACGAGCCTTCAGGCTTGCCCCATGCATAACCACATCCTTTCCTGACCGTCAGCAGCTTCAACTTTGGAATCCGTGTGAAGCTTCCTTCCTGTTTCATGTAGTCCACCCTATGTTATGTACGCCGTAAAAACCTCCAAAGCACAGGGATTATTTCGCGAAAGTCTGGCGAAGGTTTCGGCGAATGAATCGGCTCCAGAGGAACCCCGTAGCCCATAGCAAACCCACAAACTGTATTTAGAAATCGAGTCCCACCAGGTTAAATGGTTTCATGACATGGTGAACCCCCGCGAAAGAAAAACACAGGGTTCGCGAAAGTTTCACGAATGTTAATGTTTTTTTTCGCGAAGAATGGCCGTTTCAATAAACAAGAATATTGGACAACCACCACATCCAGACAGGCACGCTGCTTGATATATAAGTTTCCGATGATCAGCCCCCTACTCAGGCTACAGTAGGATAAGACTTCTACAGACAAGACATCTAAAACTATCTGCAAGCTTTTGCGATTCCTGGGCTCCAATGTGGCTGAGAGGTTCACCACAAAAA